AAGCTTTCTGAGGGGCCCCCCAGAGGCCCCAAGAGGGCACTGGAAATTGTCGCTTCCAACTCCGCCAGGCGGAGGTCAACAAGGGTCTCGCTGGTGCACTTCCAGGAATCGTCGTTCGATCCTCTTGGGGCCCTCCTGGGGCCTTCTGGAGCCGTCTTGGAAGCTCCGAGCGGCTCCATGAAGGCGCCGGGCGATATCGCTTCCAATTCCGCCAGGTGGAGTTAGACCAGGGGCTCACTGAGGCCCCTTTTTGCGCCCTCCTCTGCCTTTGAAAAAGCCCCCATGGGGTTCTTCAGTGCCGTCTTAGGGCCCCTAAGAGGCCTCCAGTAGGGTATTGAAGTTATCGCTTCCAACTCCGCCACGCGGAGTTGAACCCAGGGCGGCTCTCTGTGGCCCTTTCGGGGCCTTCTTAGAGCTTTTCTGAGGCCCTAAGTGGGCCCTGGGAGGTGTCATTTTCACGGGCGTTGAAAGTGACACCGCGGAGGGCCCTCTTGGGCCCTTCTTGGGGCCTCTCTTGGGTCCCTCTGGGAGCCCTCTTGGTGCCGCCCTGGGGCCTTCTCGGGGCCTTCTTGGAGCCTTTCTGGTGCTCTTTAAGTGGGCCCTGGGAGGTGTCACTTTCACGGGCGCTGAAAGTGACACCTCGAAGGGCCCGCTTTCCCTCGTAGCGCTGCCCGTGGCCGGGGCATTGTGCAGCGCATCCCTCGTCGAACGCATTTTGTCGGACGCGTGGTCGAATTCCGCCAGTTCGGTCGAGATGGTGGTCAAGCGGTTCGGTTGCAATGTAGCCATGCGGATCTGAGCTTACCATTTCTTGCCATTTTGGCGGGGGCTCGCAGGAGCGTTTGTGTTGTGATCAACTGTGCTCGATAATAATATATATATATATATATATATATATATATATATATATATATATATAGCGGCAGCGTTTCATCCGAATATATTACTTTGGGGAAAAAGTCACCAGGGGCCAAATTGGTGATGTGAAGCAACATAGGTCTCGTACCGCATTGAGTGGTTCAGCCTTCTGCAGTAAGTGGTCGCCTCTTCTGAGCAGCCCCGGCCACTAGCATCAGACGCGTTTTGGGCCTTGGCGGCGCCCCCCCCTCCTCCTTTTCCTCCTCCTCTTTCTTTCCCATGTCTCTGCGGCTTTCGGCAGCGCCCCCCACCGATCAGCTGGGAACATTCACAATGTCTTTGCGGCTTTCGGCTGCGCCCCCCACCGACCAGTTGGGAAGATTGCATCTGTCGCTGATGAGCGCCCGCCCTGCCACCTGCCCAGGAAGTATCGGGTCATGTGTGCGACCCCGCATCGAGTGGTTCAGCCTTCTGCGGTTCGAGTTCGTGTCGCAATTCTCGGCGCAGCCATGGAGCAGCCCCGGCTACCAGCCTCGTAAGTACTTTGCATCGTTGTGCCCCCGAACTGCGTGAGTCGGATACGATGTACATGCGCTGGCTACCGGCTGGAGGTGGCGCAACCTCGCGAATCAGCCACACCCTTGCAAGTGTGCGGCCCTGCATTGAGTGGTTCAGCCTTCTGCAGTGCGTGGTCGCCTCTTCTGAGCAGCCCCGGCCCCCAGCCTTCGTCAGTGCCTGCATCGTGCCCCCGAACTGCGTGAGTCGGAGACAATGTGCACACACTGGCTACCGGCTGGAGGTGTGGATCGGGCGCCGCCGTCAGCCAGACTTTCGGTGATAATCGTCGTTTGGCGTCGTCCGGGAGCGGCCCCGCATTGAGTGGTTCAGCCTTCTGCAGTTCGTGGTCGTTCCCCCGGCAGAGCAGTATGCACCCAGCCCCCGTCAGTACCTCGCATCGTTGTGCCCCCGAGCTGCGAGAGTCGGATACGATGTGCACGCACTGGCTTTGGCTGGACGCGGCTTAGCCTCGCGAGCCCACACCAGTGGTCTTTCTACTCCATGGCGCTTCGACGAGGTTCAGTTACACTTCAGACAGATTCAGTGAGCTTTGATGTGGCAGGCTCTTTCGCCGCGCCATCGATTACTCGTGTTGCTGCAGCGTGCCTGTGGTAGTCGCTCGCTTTCGCTCTCTCCTCCTCCCCCCTTTTCGTGTTGAGCTGGCGCCGTTTCGGCGACTCCTCGCACTCTTCCCGCGCCTAGTTCCCACCAGTCGAAGCGAAGATGCGCCTCGATGAATTTAGTTCATTTTGTTCTGTGCATGGGCAGCTGCGAGCGTGTCTTGCAGGTGCGAACTGGCTGCCGACAGTGGCGGCTGTGTTCGCAAATTTGCTGTGTGCCGCACCCCGGACGCTGCGTCCGCTCCTTGACAATTGCCTTGGAGCCGCGAGCCAAAAAATCCCTACCAGCACTTGTCCTAGTAAGCCCCTGGCCCTGCTGTAGCTGTTTTAACCACGATCGGCGCGCTCCGCTCCCCGCGCCCACAGGCAGCCGCCTCGCTGGAGCGGTTCCGCTCCCCGCGGATGGACTGCCCTGCCCCACTCCTTCCTGGTCCCCCCCCCGCCCAGGCGACAGGGCGTCGCAGCGGTTCCGTCAGCTCCGGCCCCTGGTCCCCCCAGCTCCAGTGGCCCAACCCCATCGTGGGCGCATGGGGCCGAGTGCACGTGGTTCAGCCTGTGTTCTCCTGGCTGTCGGACGACTGTGTTGACTACGTCCACGGTCCTTGGCGGCGATGCCCACGGCACCTTCCTGTTCACTCGACCCGGTGCCTGAGACGTGGATTGCCCTGGTCTTGGTCAGCTCTCGGACGTCGGCGGTCCTGTTCGAGCGCGCGTGGCTTTACCTGATCCGGTGGTTCAGGCGTGTTACGGTGTCGACTGCATCCACCGTTGTCCTGGCCACTTCGCTCGTCCAGCCGGGACCACCCCGTGGACGGTTGTATGCAGGATCGGTACTCCCTTCAGGAGTCTTGGTGTGCGACTCTTGTGACGCCGCCCTGTGCACCAGTTTTGGGCCAGGATGATCCAGCATGGCAGCTGACGCAGTGTACTGCTGGTTGCCTTCCTGGCCACATCCTGGTACTACCCCCGCGCTTGGTGAATCGTGCGTGTGCGCGCTCCTGGACCTGGCCCGTGGCAGCTGCAGCTCGCGCCCCCCTTTCACGCCGGCCCGCCCGCCGAGGCGCTGCTGAGGTCGCAGGCCCGTCGGCGTTAGGCAATTCGGTTCTTGCGCTGCCCGCTCGGCCCTCGCTCGCCGCTGGCGCCCTCGCCTGCACCTGCGACAAAAAATCCCGACCAACCCATGCATAAACGATGCCCGTGAGAGCTGACGGAGGGAGAGAGGACACGCATAGTCAAACAGCGAGGCTAAATTGAGCCATTTTGGAGGTAATCTTGGGTTCTCTGAGGCCGCTCGGAGGCCTCTTGGGTGTCTTTTTTTCGGGTGCCTCTTGGAGGGCTCTTGATGGCATTTTCGGCCGCTCTTTGGGCCCACTTGGGAACGTCTTGGGGGCCCTGGCGGGCGGGCCTTTGGGACCATCTTAGAAGCGGTCGGTCAAAAGAAGGGGGGTCCTCGATGTCTGCCCATCTCAGGGGCCACGATCTTCGTGAGGGGTGTCACAAGTTGGCCCTCCCACTGGCCGAAAAACAAGCCTCTGACACCTCCCGACCCTTCCAAAACCCAGGGAGGGGAGGGGGAGGTTCCCCTCCCCGAAAGGGAAGAGGGGTTGTGGAAGAGGGAAGAAGCCCTCCTTAGATCACCTGTCGCTCAGAGGGTTGGTGGGAATTATTATTTTTGCATTGTTTGTGAAGGATGTTGGCCTCTTGGCGGCCTCTTGGGGAGAGGTTCCGGAGCCATCTTGAGCCGTCTTGGGGCGGTCTTGGAGCCTCTTGGGGCATCTTGGGGCCATGTCGAGCCAGCTTGGACTATCTTGAGCCATCTTGGAGGTCATCTTGGGCTCTCTGAGGCTGCTTGGGGGCCACTCGGGGGTCTCTCGGGGGCTTCTCGGGGACCTCTTGGGACGGGCCTCTTGGGGCGTTCGTAGGACCCTCTTGGGGAACCCCTGGAGGGCCTCTTGGGGCCATCTTGAAGTTGGTCGGTCAAAGTCAGGAGGGTCCTCGACGTCTGCCCCTCTCGGGGGCCACGATCCTCGTGAGGGGTGTCACAAGTTGGCCCTCCCACTAGCCGAAAAACGAGCCTCCGACACCTCGCGACCCTCATAAAGAAACAGGGAGGGGAGGGGGAGGGTTCCCCTTCCCGAAGGGAAGAGGGGTTGGAGGACCACCTGTTGCCCAGAGGGCTGGTGGGATTCGTCGAACACGTGTCGAAATCCGAGCCGTATCCCCGCCCCCCACTGACTCAGGATAATCGATGGTTTGTGAGGGTAGGGTTCGGATGTCGTCACCTAGCTTCAGAGTTTCGACCCGTCTTACCACCATGTTGTGAGTCCCGCGCGAAAGTCCCAGATTGAGAGGATCCTGGGCGCGGAACGCGGTCTGGCCCGTTTCGTTCTCTTCACCGTACGGGCAAGGACACCGATTTGTCGCGTGTAGTCACAGAGCCGTCCAGTCGCCTTACCCACAAAGCTCAGAGGGGCCCAGGTGCAATCTGGTGAGGTTATATTCGTCGGGCGCCCCGGCGAGTTGGCCTACCAGATTGCCCGCCAGGCAGGGGGGCTACAAGAAAATGCTCGGATCTTGATCGTGCGAGAGGGGAGGGTACCTTGCGCGAGAGCCCCTCTGACTTCCATCCTGCCGCTCTGCCTCACGCATGCACTCGCAGGTGCTGAAACCACGCTCTATAGTCTGGTCTGATTGGTAGGCCGACTCTGTAAAGTTGTGTGTTGTTAAGGCCATACGGCCCAGGGACACTTTTGGAGCGGTGACGGCGATGACGACGGCGACAACGACGGCGAGTCAAACGAAACAGCCTCTCGCACACGTCGACAATGTCGGAGGATCTCGCGTCTTGTGTTATATCCTCGTCATGTCTGCAGCATATGTTGCCCTCTGACGAGGCTCGCGTCCTTTTGGGCGCCCTCTGTGCAAGCAGTCCTCCTGGCGCTCCCTACTTCTGCCCCTTGGAAGGTCCTGTCGGAGGAGCAGATGGCCAATGCATCCATGGAGAACTACGACCCGCGGTTCTATAGGCCTCCCAGATTGGATCCGAGTTGATGGGGTCGAGGGATCGCGCCGCATTGCCGATATATCGGCGATTTGGCTCGATGCGGAGCCCGTTGTTCTCCGCGCCGACGTCGCCGATGCGTCGCTGACGTCGCCGATGCATTGCCGATGGGTTGCCGATGCATCGCCGATGCGCTTGCCATGCGGCGCGATCCTCCGACCCCATCTATTCGGACCCCACCTAGGAGGCCTCTAGGTTCGTTGTTTTGTTGTTTCTGCCCCGTTGTCTAGCAGCGCTTGCATTTGATCGAATCGGCTTGGTCGCATTCGGTCGGTTCGGCTCGGTCGGCTGTTGCGTCGTTGTTGCGCGCGCCGCTGAGTCCTTCTCAGCTGCCCTCGCTCGATTCGGCTTCGGCATGATTCGATTTCGCTGGCGGTTCGATGAGTTTCCGGTCGTGCTGTCGCCTTGACGGTTTTGCAGTATCAGGATTTAGAGTGGAGGCCCCGTCAGTTTTGTTGTGTTGTTGTGTTTAGGTTTCAATTGCCTTACCTCGGAATGTTGTTATGTTGGCAATTGGTCCGTTGTCATGTGGCAACGCGGTCTTACGTGATGCTAGGCGAGGCGACGGCACAGGATATTATACATGGACTTGTTTGCCCTTCCCTCCTGGAGTTTTCTCCGCTATCCAGCGTGCTCCAGGGGGGCGGGCAAGTAGCTGACATGAGTGAGCGGTATATTTCTCGATTGGAGACGGCAGGAGGAGGAGAGCAGCATGAGGGAGGATGACTTCCATTACGACGAGGACAAGGACGAGGACGAACACGGGGAGGAGGAGCACTTGTTTGCAAGCCGCTGCGAATGTTCCCCTGCGTAGGCCCTTTTGGCGGTGAAGCGGACAGTGCTGAGCACGCGTTGGCAGGCAGTCCTCCCTCGTTTTCCCCCGCTTCCCTCCTCCCCTTCTCCCTTTTCCTTCTTTCCTTGTCTTTCAAGGCATGCGCGTTGAATGCGGCTGGCTTATTATGTTCAGTTCGATCGTCGACTTGGCAGGCATCGGCACGATACAGACAATTCTTCAGATTATGCAACACACATAACATAACTACATCACAAGGAACACACGGGCATAAAGCGGGCGCTGTCGAGCTGCGACGAGAGTTTGACACACATACCTTCTGCTACTCTTTTTCAGCGCCTCCACGCGTGAGTGCGGTGTGGTCACGGCGTTATCGACGCGGCTAGTTTCACAATTCTCTGAAGTCTCTCGTGTGCCTCTAGTTGTGAGAAGAATACTCTTAACTATCATTATGGGACTTGGCGGTAATTTGATCCTCTGCAATATCCACCCCCCGAACACCTCCGATTCCATCTCACTCTTCAGCGGCGTACTTCATTTTTCCAGCAGGACTTCCTGCAGCATCAGCTTGGTGGGACCGCCTTCCCAGCCCATGTGCTCTTGTTAGGGGATTGGAATTTTGTTCTGGAGCACGAGGGCAGGTTTCGTGGGGGGATGGTGGATGGGTACCTTGAGATGTTGCTCACTCGCTACTTTTCTTTCACTTGTTCCCCAGCCTCACAGAGCTGTTTTAAAGCCAGGACACGCGTCGTGGCCGACAGGGCCAAGCTGTTGCAAAGACGTCTCGGATTGATCGGATCATATCCCTGTTCATGTTGATCTTGATCGGTATGCTCCCAGCTCCAGTCAACCCATCAGCCCTCCGCCGGTTGCTGGGCTGCCTAATTTGGCAAGGCGTTAGATGATCTACTTGGTCAGATACCTGGAGCTTTGGATGAATGGGCCCACCTTTCTCTTGCTAAGGATCTTTTCTTTGAAGCAGGCGATCTTGCTCGTGAAGCTCTGCGAATTCGGCCTGCTGAAACACTACAGGAGAAACATGACTGGGCGATGGCAGCCCTTCGGGCTACTCACTCTCACGACGTGCGGCGAGTGCGCACAGCACGTCAGTGTTATCCTAGGTTGCAGTCTCACTTTTACAATGACTACTTGTGCACGAATGTTCCTGGCCTTTGTCAACACGCCTTCTATCTGTACAATAAGATTATTGATCTTGACTTTACCTTGACTCTGTCCGTCTCTACTCCAACTGCCCCCGTCTTCGAGAGTTGCTGAGAACATTGCTTGGTTCTCAGCTGTGTGTCCCCCAAGGGCCCGTGAGCCCCCATTGGTTTCCTTCTTGTCTCCTCCTCTTCGTTGACAGTGTTGTGTTGATGCTTTTGCTTGCCGCCCACGATGCGAGGAGTTTCTCGTGTCGTGCCACGCCAGCTCCGGTTTTTGAAGCCCGCTTACGCGTCACTGCCCGCCGCCGCAAAAAAAACACGATGCCGCCTGGTCGTTTGTTGGCCAGTCGAGGGCCAGACTGCGCCATCGTGTCCCCGCCCCGCCCGTGGTTTTCTGACCCCACGACGTGGTGACGGCGACGTAGAAACGATACTGATGTCCAGGGCTCCTCGCTTCCGCCAGTGGCTGCCCAGCTGGGCTCGGTGAGAGAGGGCCTGGTAACCGACGAAGAACTCGGCGACTTCTGGTGCGCCTCCACCTGACTTCCAAGAGAGGCCCGCGCCCGCTGAAGCGGAGGGCGCGCTCTCGTGGGTTCCTCAGGCTTCGCGGGGCCAGCGAGTGCGCCGTTCGACCTGGCAATCGACGATGATGTTGGCGACTTCTGCGGCCCCATCCACGTGGCTTCCAGGAGAGGCCGTGCCCGCTGGAGCGGAGGGCGCCCTAGGACAAGGTAGTTGACGACGGGCTGGAAATTGACCATGATGTCGACGGCTTCAGCTGCCACTCCATCTGGCTTCCAGGAGAGGCCCGCGCCCGCTGCCGCCGAGGGCGCGCTCTCGCGGGGCCCTAAGGCCTCGCAGGACCAGTGAGTGCTGGTACCGAGCGAAAGCAAACTGGTACCCAAACTCGCCGTTAAACCTTGATTCTGCTCATCGCCATAAGTAGTAGTGACCTTGCCACCAGCACCAGGAGACTGAGTTACGTGTGAGAAGTCGTACCATGATCTTCCTGGCCCGTCCCCCCAAGGTGGGGAATGCCCCGAGCCCCCGTTTGAGCCCCTCTCGGAGCGTCGAGGGCCCAGCGGCACGTGGCCGCTGTCCCCGGGTGGGGAACGCCTTGAAACCCCAATGAAGCCCGCCTCGGGGCTTCCGAGGGAAGAACAGCCATCGGCCAGGGCGGCGCTGGGATGGGGTCGCTTGCAGCTCGCTTTGCAGCCTCCTGCTCGAAGGCATTCCATGCTTCAGCAACTCTGTCTCCCCCCGCCGGTCGCTGGAGCGGGTCCTCCGAGTCTGGGCCTGAAGCTGCGGATGCTGAGCCTGGTTGAGTTTCAACATTGTCATGGGCAGGGGGGGGGGTTCTCGCCTGGGGCCGCACCATCACGGGTCCTTCTTTTCCTTCCGAGGCGGAGGCGCCGGGCTTCATGCTCCTCCCTGGCCTTGGCACATTTTTAGGCCGCCTCCGAGAAAACATACTTTGCTGCGGTCTGGAGCTGTGTGACGAGGGTCTCCCTGCGCTCTTCAGCTTGCTTGAGTTCCCCTTCCTCGATATCTTCGCCACCTCCGAAATATGAGCACATATCCGAAGTCGATGGCTCAACCATTCAGGGAACCGTCCAGGAGCGTACGGAAGGACAATTTCGGCTTTGCCTGCTCAGGTTTTTTTTGTTGCTGGGGCTTGGGCCCCACAGTGCCGACCTCCGCGGCCAGGAGGTCGTAGTCGGCCTATAGGTCTTCGAGCTTCGTCTTGAGGCTCTCGATGTACTCGCTTCCATTTGAAACATTGGTCCATGGCCATCCCGAGCTTCGCACCATGCTGGTCCAGGGCCCTTCTCGATGCTGCCAGCCTCTGCTCGATGGGAGGCGGCGGCGGGGGCACCCTGTTGAGCACCTTGAGCTGCTTGTCGCAGAGGGCCACGAAGGTCTTATTACCGATCTTGCTGGACGTCTCACGCAGGCTGCTGAGATCATCTTTGCCGAGGGAGGACACGTCGACCTGGGTGTCTGTGCACTGGCTCTGTTGCTCCTTCTCCTGAGTCGTTGGCGGTCCCCTGGTCCACCGCGAGTCTGGGGATGGTTGATTGTACCCGTAGCCCGGACCCCGTGGCTTCCACTCACCACTGTGCTTGCACCAGCGGAAGGTACTGGGATTCTTCTTCCCGCACTGCGCACCCGCACGCCGTACATTTCCACATGGGTCCAGAGTAAACCCAAAGCCTACGCACCCAACCACCGTTCCCAGGTGCACCCTTGTCAGCAAGCGCATGCGGACGACTGGCGACCATCCTTGAGACGCTGCGGACAGGCGGCGTGAGGCCGTCGTGATGCTGGCTCGACCTCAGCAGCGCGGAGCTACACTGAGGTAGCCTGAAAGAAAACAACTGAAAGCTGGCCGCGGACTAGCGGTATCCACTTCGTTTCCAGGGGAAACCAAAACCGAGAGCCAAAATGGCTACGATTTTCCTCCTCCTTTTCCTCCTCCTCCTCCTCCTCCTCCTCCTCCTCCTCCTCCTCCCCAGGCTTCAGGCTCCCAGGGCCCCAGGGCAGGCTAAAAACGAGTCGGGATGAAACGATGGTCGCATGCGCTGCCCAGGAAGCCCCTAGGTCCAGGGCACGTTTCCGCCAGGACCCGCTGCCCCCAGGGCGAAGGAGTGGAGGATGCACGAGAGAATGCGACGGATTGATGACGAGGCGGAGGGGGCGGGAGCCGAGGCTGGGGCCTCCCTGGTTGCTCTCCGCTGGTCTGGTGCGTTCAGGAGGTCTGTTGCGGTCGGCCTGGCTCACCTCGGACGGGCCTAGAGCCCAGATGAATCCGTTCCAGAGCGTTCCGGAGCGCTCAAAGTGCCGCGGCGCCCGATACATCTTCCAACCCCGCCGATTCTCTGAGATCCCCTATTTATGTTGGTCCGATGTCTTGTCTCGAGTCTGCCTTCGTCTGATCACCTGCGCGTTGCCTGCCGGACCCGCCAGAGATCGGGAGGAAAAGAGAGAGGATCAACGACACGCTGCCGCTGGCAGCCCGCCAGCGCGCGCTGCTCCTTGGCTTTCCTCTGAAGCCTCGTGCCTCTTCTCAGCCACGCGCGGAGGGGGGTAGGGAGAGGGGGGAATGCTTCTCAGAAGCAGCCCTGCTTCTAAGAAGCCTTCTCCCCTCTCCCTACCCCACTCTGCGCGCCGCCAGTCTTCAACAATAACATTAAACAACGCCAGAACGAGGATCACATCGGGTGAGGGCAAATCGAGAATCTCTGAGATCCGGCGGCTCGGGAGGATGTCTTGGGCGCCGCGGCCCTCTCAGGGCGTTCCAGGACACTCTGAGAGCGTCCCGGAACGCTCTGGAACGGATGTATTTTCGTACCAGCCCCGTCCGATAGCATTTTGATGGTTCCCTACGGCGTCGTGCTATTGACGCTGTCTTTGCCCCCCAAGGGCAGGGCAGGGCAGGGTGGGCGGCGGCGACGTCGCGTCGTCGTCCGCGAGGTTCGCCGGGCTCGTGCAGACCACCACGAGCCCCATCGTGGCGTCCGGCTCCAACTTCGGCTGCGGGTCCAGCCGCGAGCAGGCGCGCGTCGTTCCGCCGCTGATGCCGCCGCCGCCGCCCTGCTCCACGTGCTGTGTATCGCTGCTCTTCTGCGGTGGGAGTTTCCAGCTTGGTGTGTCGCGCCGCCAGTTCTAGTCTCACTGGAGGTTCTAGGTTCTCGGACGTTCTGGGTTGGAGGTTCTCGGACGTTCTCGGCGATTCTCCAACTTGGCGATGCATTCTAGCATTCTGGGGGTGTCCGGATCGTCCCGACCCGCCGCAGGGGAGCCGAGGTATGGCCCGAGAACCAGATGGTAACGTCAGGGGGGCATAGGCTCGGAGGGGGTGCATCGACCCCAGTCGCCCTTTCATCGCCGAGAAGGGCTTCTTCTAGCCCGCCTGGGAATGGTCGGTTTCGCTATGCGGGGCACATCGCCGATCTATCGGTGATGTCTCTTCGACCCCCACTGAGCGGGCCCACCCCCCCAACATTGCCCCTCAATGTTGGATCAATACGCTGTCAGCATTCTGAGTGTTTCAGATCTCAAGTGAGACGAGCTTCGCCCACCCCTACCCTCAAGAGTGTTATAGACCGGGATCCCTACAAGGATCTTGGTCGAACGTTCCTACAGCGGCTCGGTCGAAGTTCGGGGGACACGTGCGACCGTGGCGTCATTGCGCTTGCGGGCCCGTCCGTCCGATCTCCGCATTCGGGGGGGATGCAATGCAGACTCCTCTCTGGCCGTTTCCGCACATCCGACAGGCTGCAGAGGGCCGCGTGCATCTGTCCTTGGCGACACACAAGGCTCGGGTCAGACGAAAAGGGGGGATAAGGAAAAGGGGGGGTTATGACATCTGCTGCGTGCAGCTGATTTCCGCCCCGCCGCGCGGAGCCGTTACTCGATACAGTATAGCCTCCCGGCGCTGGGAGTCGCCAGAGAAAACAGCTACGTGAGCTGATCCGCTAACCGCCCTTTGCTAACCCCCTTTCGTCTCACCCGAAGGCCTGGTATTCGGGCGCAGCTACCCCTTCTGGCTGGTGGGCGCTGCCCTCCAACGGCTGCCTGGCGAGCCCCTCCCAAGGCGGGCCAGCCAGGGCTGCGCCCGTCGAAATTTGGTGCGTCTAGACAGTTGCCCAAAGACTCAATTGAATGACGCCCAGACACTTACCTTGAGTCAGGGTATGCATCGATGCCCAATCGCCCATTCATCGCCGATAGGCGCCCTATAGCCCCAACCTGCCGAGGAAAGTGCAGATCTGTTATCGGGGGCAGATCGCCCATGCATCGGTGATGTATCGCCGATTCCATGTCGATGTGTCCCCCCCTGTCCTAGTCCTCCCGGATCGTTGCACCTCATTAAGTCGGTCTAGAAGTGGTTGCGTTCTCACAAGCCAGGAGGGGAACGCAAGGAGCGCGACTTCTACGTCAACAGCGTAGGCGGTGGAATCCCGTCGCTCCAGACTGGGGTGCTGGCGGGAAACTCCTTTGATCTAGACGTGGCGGCTATCGACGGGCGCCGCTCATCAGGCTTCCTCGCAGGTGGTTCCGGCCAGTTTGTGGGGCCGTTCGAATGCTCTGGCGATCGGAATCTTTGTCGTAATTCGTGTGACGGCGCCGATGCGCCAGGCCCGACCATCAGAATGCACACGTCGCTCGTCTAGGTGAAGAGGCGGGTCTGCGATGAAACCCATTCATGTGGCTTGTACGACGCTCCTGCCGCCCGAACAGAAGTGGCAATGTGAATTTCTTGTGGGTAGGGGTGGCGTGTCCAACAACCTTGATCACGAATGCAACCTCAGGGGCGACACGCTATCAGCTTCAGAGGCATTGTGTGTCACACAGGACGCCGCCGCGATACGCTACGCAACAGTTCCGGACATTATCCTTTGACTTGTTTGGGCGACGTGAAAGAATTCGGCTGGGGTGTTGCATCGTGTTGCGTCGCGCAACGCTTAGGGTTTGTGGATCGGTCCAGCTCGAGAATGAGCAGTCTAAAGGTGTGGCCGATAGTTTTGGCCATATCTTCCACTAGGCTTCGTTTTTTCTCATGAGGTCGGAAGCCAGGGGCGCTGATCGTGCGTATCATCGTCCCGCTCATACCCGCAGCCTCCTCGTCTAAATCCGCCTCCGAGTAGTCCCCTTGGGATCGCTGGTGCGTGAAGTGGCGCACGTGCCACCAGAGAAGCGCAACCGCACACTTACTCACACCGGTCTTCCCGCAGATTGCGTGCACTGAACCAGGCGGTGTCGGATTGCCGTTCTCTTGGTTGGGTCAGCCCATCGGTTAGGCCCCGAAGACGCCCAAGAGCGCCCCAAGAGGGCCCGTGAGGGCCCCAAGAGGGCCTTCAAGAGGCAAACGTCGGCCCATTTCCTTTGTAAACCATGCATTTTCGGCATACTCGCTGGCTTCGTCTTCACAGTGCCCCAGACGCCCCCGCGGAGCCCCAACACAGCCCAAGAGAGACCCAAGAGGGCCCAAGACGGCCCAACAGGGTCGTCCTGTGGAGCTCACGGAACCCCCAAGACGGCCCAAGCGGCCCCAAAGCCTGCCCAGCAGGCCCCCAAGACGGCCTCAGGGAGGCCCAAGAGGGCATCGTTCGAAATCATGTTCCCGGAAGCCTCTACGGGAACATGCTTTCCGGTTTCCGAGGACGCCCAAAAGGCCCACAAGACAGCCTCAGCGAGGCTCAAGAGGGCCCGAGATGGCTTCAAGATGGCCGAAGAGGGCCCCGAGAGGGCCTTCAAGAGGCACAAATCAGCCCGTTCCCGTAGTAAAACGTACAGTTTCAGCATACTCGCTGGCTTCGTCTTCGCAGTGCCCCAGACGCCCCCGAGGAGCCCCAAGACAGCCCAAGAGAGACCAAAGAGGGCCCAAAACGGCCCAAAAGGGTCGTCCTGTGGGGCTGACGGACCCCCCCAAGACGGCCCAAGAGACTCCGAAGCCGGCCCAGGAGGCCCCCAAGACGGCCTCAGGGAGGCCCAAGAGGGCCCCGTTCGAAATCATGTTCCCGGAAGCCTCTCCGGGAACATGTTTTCCGGGCTCCCAGGGCCCCCTACTGGGCCCCAGGACAGCCTCAGCGAGGCCCAAGAGGGCCCGAGATGGCTTCAAGATGGCCGAAGAGGGCCCCAAACGGGCCTTTAAGAGGCAAAGATCAGCCCGTTCCCGTAGTAAAACGTACATATTCAGCATACTCCCTTGCTTCGTCTTCGCAGTGCCCCCGACGCCCCCGAGGAGCCCCAAGACAGCCCAAGAGACACCCAAGAGGGCCCAAGACGGCCCAAAAGGGTCGTCCTGTGGGGTTGACGGAACTCCCCAAGACGGCCCCAGAGGCCCCAAAGCCTGCCCAGCAGGCCCCCAAGACGGCCTCAGGGAGGCCCAAGAGGGCTTCGTTCGAAATCATGTTCCCGGAAGCCTCTACGGGAACATGATTTCCGGGTTCCCAGGACGCCCACAGACAGCCCACAGAGGCCCCGGACACGCCGAAGATGGCCTCAGGACGGCCGACGACGCCGCCAAAACGCCCCAAGAGCGCCTCCAGAGGCCCCTCCAAAGGGCCCCAGAAGCCGAAAATCATTAATTTTCCAATGGTTCTTGAAGCATTCTTGTTCTCTCGTCAGAGGCCCTTCAGATCGCTCCAAGACTCGCAGGCCTCGAGGTTGACACCAACACCAATATCGGCGGCGTGCCTCCACCGAGGAATGAGGATTCCGGTCTCGGTGATGGTGGTAATATTTTGGCTTCCAAGGTGGCCGAAATATTCCCACCAACACCGAAATCTGGGATCATCTTCCCCCTGTGGAGGCAACCCCATGTGCTGGTGTTGGTGCCAATTTCCAGGCCTCCAAAAGACGGCCGAAGAGGCCCCCAAGAAAGCCCAGAGACGGCCCAGGAGGCCCCCCAGATAAGTCAAGCGGGCCTCGAGAGCGCCCCAAGAGAGCCCCAAGAGCGACCCAAGAGGGCCCTAAGAGTGCGGCATTTCGACGCCCCTGAGAGGCTCCTAGGACGCCCCTGGAGGCCATCAAGAGGCTCCCAAGAAGCCCAGTGAGGCTCCCAAGAGCCCCCCTGGAAGCCCCAATAGGCCCCCAAGGGACCCCCAGGGAAGCCCTCTGCGGGCCCCCAAGACACTTCGGCAAGTCGTATTTCCCAGATAGTTAGCTTTCCGGGAACATGATTCCTTGGGCTTCCGCCCACCGCCCCAACCATGTTTCCAATATGCTTGCCGACAATGCCAAAGGGCGCCCCTCGGTAAGTCCCCAGAGGCCCCCTTCTTAGAGTGCCAAACAAATCATGCTCCCAGAAAGCTTCCCGGGAACATGATTCTCTATCTCGGAGTAGGCCCAGGGGGGGGGGGCGGGCCGCCCCATCGGTGCCCACCAGGGGTTGCGGGGGGGTGGTCCAGAGCTCCCGAGGCGGCCCGAGCCCGCCCCGAAGCAGGCCACGACAGGCTAAGGAGGTCCCGAGAGGACCCGAGAGGACCCAAGACGGTCCCACGAGGCCCCGAAGACGCCCAAGATGCCCTCAAGACAGCCGACGAGGGCTCCAACACCCCAAGAGGGCCCTGGAAGGCAAGATTCACTCGTTGTTCGAGGGTTTTGGATTTTGACGTTCTCGCTTTTCCCGCTTTCCAGCGCTGCCTCACTCTAGGCCTCCTAGATGGGGTCGGAGTAGATGGGGTCGGAGGATCGCGCCGCATCGCCGATGCATCGACGATGCGGATCGATGCGGAGTCAGATTTTTTCCACGCCGACGTCGCCGATGCGTCGCCGATGTCGGCGATGCATCGCCGATGCATCGCCGATGCATTGGCGATGCATTGGCGATGCTGTGCGATCCTCCGACCCCATCTGCTCGGACCCCATCTAGGAGGCCTCTACTCACGGCCTCGGAGGCCTTTTAGATCGCTCCAAGAGGGCCCACGAGGCCCCGACGAGGCCCCAAGACGGCCCAGGATGCTCCCCAGACAACCCAAGTGTGCCCCAAGAGCGCGCCAAGAGAAGGTCCCGAGGCGGCCCGGGCCCGCCCCGAAGCAGGCCACGACA